TTTATAATAAAGTGTAGATTTTTTAATATGAGGTTCATGTAAATCAAACCATTTTCTGGTCCACATGCTTAATGAATCCTAATCTCTCTTTTATAGCCAATCAAAAATGAGTAATTTAAGGGGTGTGTGTGTGTGTGTGTGTGTGTGTGTGTGTGTGTATTACATATATTCAGATAACCTGTTATATAAAGTTTCGCTTACACACTCACCAAAACACATGGCCATATCGAGCACAGTTTTCAGAGTGTGTGTGTGTGTGTGTCCATATTTCACTATATGTGCACGTTTTAGTGAACGTGTGTGTGTACTGAGCGTACACAATTGTGTGTGTGTGTGTGTGTGTGTGTGTGTGTGTGTGTGTCTGTCTGTCTGTCTGTCTGTCTGTCTTTCTGCCTCCATTACACCTCTCTATCAGTAAACAGCACCCTGGTCTCTGCCTCCCAGTGAAGAGTCAAACCATCTGCGATTGTGTTTGTGTTAGGCAAAGTGCTAGAGCCTTTCTCTTCCGCTGACAGGCAGCATCACAGAGAGAGGGACACACACACACACACACACACAGTGGTGCTGTGTGTGTGTGTGTGTGCGTGCGCGTGTGAGGCCATGAGTCTGTTCATATTGAGGCTCTCAGTAGGGAGTCTGGTGCTGCTTACTGCACTGAAATGGCTCTGCAATTTTGTTTTTACGGCATCAACACTTTAATACTGTTTTAACGTGCCCTTGTCGACTCTGCGTCTCTACTTCCCCTCAATTGCCATCTATAGGGCTGTGTTCCAATATCAGCTAGAGTGAAGTGTGCTAGATGTGGAAATCAAGACAATATTAGTGTATACTTCAGGAATAAAAGCAGGCATTGCTGTGCAGTTTTTGATTAAATGTAACCACTGTGTGCTACCACAGAAAAGCAAGACAGTATTCTTAGACTTCTCTCACTTAATGATGTCCCTCTCTCTCTCTCTCTCTCTCTCTCTCTCTTTCATTAGTTTTTCTACCCCCTTCTCTGTCTTCTCTTCCACCCTTTCCATTGCTTTGCTTGTCTGCTAGCATGTTATGTAAGGTCAGTGTTCATAAGGCTACATAAGTCATACTTACATAGGTCCTTCATATGGGTGGTAAAAAAGAAATAATGAAAGGAAGAAGAGGGTAGAGAGAGAAGGAGAGAGAAAGAGAGTGAGATGAAAAAGGAAATAGAGAAAGAAAGAGAGAAAGAGAGGGGGAACTGTGAGGGGGACACAGTTCAATCTCTCTGCTTACCCGTCAGCTACTATTATAATTAACACTCAGACATGCTAATAATGGTGTGTGCGTGCGTGTGTGTGTCTTGCTTTATTGCCTGAAGAGTGAATTTATTTGTGTGTGTCTGTGTCAGATGAAGCAACTATTTAAAGGTCCTGAGCTGTGTGTGTGTGTGTGTATGTGTGTGAGATTGTGTTATGGGTTCATCTCAATCCTGTTCTTTAAGGGCACAAGTTCGCACTCATTCTTTAGTCTCACACTCTGCCCTACCAACTGCTCCTGCACAGTTGTGTTACAGTTTACAGCTTTCAGGAGAAAGGTGTATATGTGTGTGTGTGTGTGAGGAATGGTGGTGGAATACACTGTTGTCGAAGAATTGTCGTCATAGCAACAATCACTCTAGGCAATAAGCAGACGTGTTTGTTCCTGTTGAAGTAGACACCACAGGATGCAGATGTTTATAGAGAGGAGTTCCCTGGATTTTTTAAGACACTAAGAAATCATTAGCTAGCGATCAGAAACAACTGTTACCACCCCAAAGTGCATTATTTTCCAAAAACAGCACTTCCTGAAGTCTTTAATTCCTCTTATACTAGAGCAATTTGCCAATGCTAACAATTTTCTTATCAATTGAAGAATGACATGTGATACCTTTATTACCGCTCTCAATATTTCTCTCATCCATTGTCTCTCCCTTACCTTTTCCTTTCTCTTTATCACTCTTTCACTTTCTCCCCATCTTATCTCTCTCTATTTCTCCTTCTTTATCTTTCTCTCCTCGTATCAGCTCAGCTCAATGCTTTATTGATACAAGTGTTAGATCACATTTTTGCTCAAGCCAATAGCACAGGTAAATTATGAACAGCAAATAGTAAAAGATAACAAAGAATAACAGATGATGAGATGTAAAACCTCTCTAATAAATAATATTTGTAAAATTTGTCTCTTGGATGATGGCAGGATTCCACAAATATGGCTGCTCACAGAATTGTTTCAGTAGAAGTTGTATCAGTGTCAGTGTACTCCTGAAATTCCGACATGATACAACATATTTTCCAGTAGAACGCATCTCGAATTTAAATTAATTTTTTTGGAAGTAACACATAACTCAGTTAGTTGTCAAGGAATCGGAATGTGTAGCACCAAATTCAACTCAATAATTGAAAGCCACAAACAGATGAACTACTGACTAGTCACACTCAAACTGATCTCTGCTGCAGATTTTTGGGGTTGATAGTTGAAAATGTGTCTAACTGTGGTTCATGGCTCAGGTTTGTGAATCAGTTGTAAATATGGCTATTACACTATTTTGCTATTGATGCAGTCCATAGTACTGACGCACAGTGTGTTGTGTAGTGGCGCTGTCCATGGTTCTGAAAGGTCAGTGTGAAAGGCTAGTAATGGAAAAAATCAGTACAGTTCTGAAATAAAAGCCAGTATAGTGCTGAAATAACATTCAATATACTTCAGAAGTAAAAATAAAGTTTATTGTTGAAATGAACATCAGTATAGTGCTGAAATAAACTGTAGCTTAATGTTAAAATAGAAGTCAGTGTAGTGCTGAAATAAGTCAGTATAGTGCCAATTAAAGAAGAAAATCTGTTTTTGCAATATACTGACATAAACAGTAACTTAGTGTAGTGCTGAAATAACAGTCAGTATAGTGCTATTAAAAATCTTATTATACTGCTGAAGTCTGACTTATTATAGTGCTGAAATAAAACTCAATATAGTGCTGAAATAAAACTCAATATAGTGCTGAAATAAAACTTAGTATAGTTTTGAAATTAAAGTCAGTATAGTACTGAAATAAAACTGAGTATAGGATTGAAATATAAGCCAGTGTTATGCTGAAATAAAGGTTAGCGTAGTGCTGAAATAAAATGTAGTTGTGTTAAAATAAAGTTAAATATAGTGCTGGAAAAAGTTCTGAAATAAAAGTATATAGCACAGAATTGAAAGAGTACACTACTGAAAAGAATTTACGATACTGATCTTGTCTATAGTGCTGAAATGCTTTCTTTATTTTGAAGAGGCTTCTGTTTCTCGGGGATAGACTCAGGATCCACCACGACCCGGACCAAGATGAAGCTGTTACTGAAGATAAATGATTGAATTTTTTCTCTCATTGTGATTACACAGGGCTACTGCTTGTGGTCTGCGTACTCAAACCTCTTGACCTTTGACCTCTGTGTGTTTGGTGGAACATAATTGAGTCCACCTGGACGTAACAGCTTAACCGCGTGTGTGTGTGTGTGTGTGTGTGTGTGTGTGTGTGTGTGTGAATATGCATACATAACTGAGATTGTCTCTTTCTCCATGTTGGAGGTGTGTGTGTCTGCATGTGGTGTTCTCCTCTTTGATAGGCTCTTGATTAGCGGTGTGTCTCTCCCCCCACAGCAGTGAAATAGCACCACCTCTTACCAACACCAAACACACACACACACACGCATATATATATATATATACATACTTTCTTCACATTTCTTTATGAGCCAGATATGCTTGTCAGTCTTGCTTCAATATGTCAGCTCTGGTTTTGGGCCAAACAGTCAGATCTCAGACACACACACACACACACACACACACACACTTCATAAAAATACAGCACTTTCTTTAAAGCTAGACAGTGAGCAAGTTACACTGCTGCGTGTCTTTGCAAGATTGTCTGCACTTTTTTTTATTTGGGTGTTTAATTTGTTGTGCATGCTGGTCTCTTTCTTTATTTTCCTTTAAATTGGTAACTGTGTTTGTTGTCTCTTCATTTTGCATGTACAAACCTTGACAAGAAGTCATTCCTTCCTAACTCTTGAGACAGAGATTTGGTTTGGATGATAACGTTTGCATAATTAGTACAGAGGATATTCAAACCTCTGACAATGTTTGTATCTCTCGTAAATTTGGCACAGCTTTTTGGGATGATGTACACTTCGCTTTTATCTATTTGGACAATTAGCAAACATGGAACTATGTCAGTCCTGCAGATCGTCGAAGAAAGCTCATCGAAGCCTGTGTAAGCAGGCTTTAGGTCAGGAATGTTAAAAATGCAGTGTGGACAGGACCATCCTGATGAAGGTTGTGATCGGGCCCACCGAATCAATTTAGAAAGCGGACTGTAATTGAATTGAAATGTTCAAGAATGAAAAGAGCTGGTCCACGTGTTAGGCAAACTAGAGCAATAAACTCCTACTCATTAGCTACTGACAAAATATCCTATTGATATGGAATTGTTGGTGCCTAATCTGTTGTACTGAGCATTCAGGTTTGCAATACGGTATATTTATTTCTTAAATTTTTTTTTGTGGTTGTTGTTATTTTAAAAGACAAAGGCCCTACAACAGCAGGGGGTTTGTGTGGTGCTTGGTAGCCTTGTGGTAAAAGCCTTGCCTCTGAGCCTGGAGATTGCTGGTTCAAAGCTGGCTTTCTCTCACAGTGGGTGTGTTGAGTGGAGAAGGGTTGGTTGTGGAGAAAGGGTGGCTGAAGGGGATGGAGTTTCAGAACAGCCCAAACACCCCCCCCCCCAAAAAAAAAAAGACATGTGGGTGATAGGTTTTTACAGCAATCCCCTTGTATGCAAAACTAAGTCCTCACTCTTTCTTCCCAGTCCATAACCCCTTCTCTTCATTTCCTCAGATACTGGGAGGGCAGCTGCCCGGATATTGCCCCCCTTTCAGGTAATGCCCTCCAACACCTTTCGCAAGGCTCCCTTCGGCCATCCTGCACCTGCCATGCCACCCTTTCCTGAACCTTCTGCGTTCATATCCCAGAGACCTGGCTGGGGTTTGAACCAGCAACCTCTCCACCCAAAGGCGAGGCTCATCCAGTTGAGCCACAGGATCTCATACTAGCCAGGTGCTTTAAAGAACTTTTCACATTTCTATTCTTACTCCCCCCCCCCAAAAAAAGGACTGAAGCTTAGAATCAAACCAGGGATGTCACACAGCAAAGACAACAATGCTAACCACTGCCCCACTGAAGGACAGGCAATACTGTTACTTATTGGACTTTTGTCTTAATAAATTGATCAACGACGCACATGAAAGAGAAGCGAGAAAGAAATATTTAGTGGAAGAGGAGATGGTTGTTTAGAGGTTCAGTGCTCATCACACCCCTGTAGCTTCTCTCGGTAATAGGATGCCACAAGTGTAATTATGAGAGTACCGCTAACCAACACACACCAACAAAGTGACTGAGTGTGTTAATTTGCTGTACCTGTGTGCTTTCTGAGAACGGTTTAAAATGGCTTCATACAGAAGTGGTTGTTTGGCTTGTCATAAATCTTTTGTTGAAATATTCCAAATGCAATCATAAGGAGGTAACTATTTATAGGTCTATGGTTAATTAGCAGTAATAGTTAGTTTATTTTCAGTAGTTCCAGTAGTGATTGCTTTGGTTTGCTGGGGATGGTGCTACCTGGGGGCTGTGGAGATGGCTTGGGGATCACATATGGGGAGCTGTACTGTAATGGCTTGGGACTGCGATTGCTGTAGTGGCTTTGGGGCTGCGGTTGCCACGAGCAGCTTCGTACTCAGGACTCCATCAGTGGACAGTGGATAGATTTTAACCAACCGGACTTCTTGCGGAAACTGTGATGAATTTACTGGTTGCACAATTACACTATTTGTCCTTATAGTACACAATAATAGAAGGGATTTATTTATAATCGCACTATCCGTTGCACCCAGATGAGGATGGGTTCCCTTTTGAGCCTGGTTCCTCTCAAGGTTTCTTCCTCATATCATCTCAGGGAGTTTTTCCTTGCCACCGACGCCACTGGCTTGCTCATTATGGATAAATTCAGTACTAAATTCAAACATTTACAATATATTTTTTGTGAATCCATTTCTGTAAAGCTGCTTTGTGACAATGTCCATTGTTAAAAGCGCTATACAAATAAAAAGTGAACTGAATTAAATTGAATAGTTAGAGTGACTATGTCCAGAATACTACACCTCAGCCTTAACCCAACTACCTCCATCAGCCACAACTCTAGCCACTGCACCACTGAGGGATACAGGTGGATGCTATATAATGCATGCTTGGTTAATAAATGGCTTTAATACTACTAAACATAATGAAACCAAGAAAGACTAAGAATTGTATGGCACTCAATACATAATTACCTAAATCATCTTAACCTTCAGTGGCGCACAGTTCTCATCTTCGCCACTTTATTTCTTTTAAATCCCAAACTCTGTCTTATATTACTTTTTTAGCACACAGGAATTTAATTTGATTGGCAGATTTGTTGTATCCACATAAGCAAGGCAAATGAGGTGACCAATAGCTGTTTTCTGTTCTTAAGTATGCACTCGGCATTTGTAACAGATGTAAATTTTTACATCTACTTTAAATGACATTCCCATGTCAAGGAACATTGTTCATTTGGCTAAATGTTTAGTTAGACTTAAGTGACTAAAAGTGGATCATTTATATTTATATGCTGATCATTTATATTTATTATGCTGAATATATATCAAATATATATATCAAACGCTCAAAGATGGCAGCGTGGTCAGACTCCAGGTCCTAAAGACGGTGCTTTTGTCTTTTAATCTCGTCTCTTCGTCTCCAAATAATCGCACTTTACCGCTAATTCATAAGGAAAAAACTTCAAAACACATCTATGATCGCCAAAGCCTTTTGGAAATCAGCAGTGAAAGTTTTTGTACAGTCTCAGTATGTCTATGTATAGTCAACTTAATTGTTTTTCTTATACTTCTGTTGTTGTATGTTCATATTTATGTTTAACTTGTATGTAGCACCGTGGTCCTGTGAGACACGACATTTCGTTCCACTATATGTCCACACGTAGCAGAATGACAATAAAGCAGTGTTGATGCCTGTGTTGATGTAGTCATGTGCTAATAATTCTGAAAAATAAACAAGGTGAAAAATTAAGGGAATTTTTCCATTTGCCACAAGCAAAGGAACATTGTTTCCAGGAACGGAAATCCATGCTGTACCTTCCTAGAAAATAACCAAACTTTCACACACTGTTACTTATTTGTCCTGCTCATATTCTTTTATCAATAAATTGTTTAGTTTTTGGAAAAAAAAAAAAAAAAAAAAAAAAAAAATAATATATATATATATATATATATATATATATATATATATATATATTTCTATACTCTAACATTTGGCCATTTTTTCCTCTATCAAAGACCTTGACTTTTTGACCTCATTTTCCTCTTTTTGTTTGCTTTCAAATCCAAGAGTCGTGTCGTTAGTCACAGTCTGATATATAAATTTCTCTGCAGACTCACAGTGGAAACAGATTCAGCAGTTCGAGTGCGATTTTAAAAACAGACAATCAGGAAAGTGGTTTTAGACAAAAGTCTCACTTGAGTGATTTAATCTTCTGAAGGCTTTTTTAAAAAAAAAAATCTATTTCCTTTACTGTGGGTGTGTGGAAAAGCTTAGGAAAAAAGCGTATAGAATCTTTTGTGCTGTCTTACAGAACAATGAAAAGCTCTGGGCTTATTGTTCAGTTATTTATCTTATTCAGTAACTACAGTGAAACTAATAAGAAAAGTATGTAATTATGGGAGAGAGAAATAAGATATTAATTGTAACCCATTTTTTCCTTTGTCTACCAAAACTGTGTGAAGACAGAGTAAAACTGTTCTATAGTCATAATATCTGAAGTTGAATTTTACTATTTATGACACTATATTCAATAAAGCAGTTTTTCAGAACCTTTGGACATATGAAAACAAAATGGCTGTAGTCCAGTGAAATGTTTTCATGTTTTCTCATGTATTATAAACATGAACCACAGCTTCTGTAGCAAATCCTCAGTTTGATGTTTATCCAGTCACATGCATGTAATGCTGTCAATTTCAAATCAATTTCAAAACAGATATATCATCTTTTCAGAATCCATAGCTCTAGTTAAAATTGGTAACATGCAGTGCCAAAAGTGACTAAATTAACTACAGCCATAAGCTAATAATTTAACATTGAGTCTTGTTAGTTGCTTATCTGGATCCCTGCTTTATTTACAGAATTCAACCAACTGCCCTTAGACTTCTTTAATAATTACGTGTTGAAACTTCTGAACTTCTTATATGTAGTAATCATGCATACACTACAGACACTGCGCATAGAGATTGAAAAACTCTAGTACTCCTTTAATACTAAATAAAGTATAAAGTATCTAGTGCTCAGAGGAAGGAAATGCACTCCTTGTGCAGATAAGTGAAATAAAGTATTCAGTCCTTCAACGCATTTGTTTCGTTGACAACGTTTTCATTTTGTGTACTCTGTTGTTTCATGCACAGTGATTCAATGTCTGGTGTTTCTGTTTGTTTTCTTGTTTGTGTTTGGAAACAGGTGGGAGGTTTGATTCTGTCAGGAATTTTCCTCTAAACGTATGATTAGGACTCTATCACTCGCTCCTTCTCACTCCCCCTCACAGTCTCTCTCTCTCTCTCTCTCTCTCTCTCTGAAAATCTTCTTACACTCTTCATCACTCTGCTTACATCACATGACCCAAGATTTCTTTGACAACACTGCTTCCTCTTCTCCCTCCATGTCTGTCCTCCACCTTCATTCCACACACCACCTCTCTCATTTTGTCCCTGCGATTTTCTAGCTCCATAGCCTTGACACACAATGCACGGATTTTACACGTTTAAGAGACACCTAGCCAAAACTGGTAAATCTAATAAATAACAGTTTAAATAAACACCCGACAAAACAATGCAATATATACAATTCAAACATATATATGATATTTGGAAATAGAAAAATATCTGGAAAATCATCGATATAATTTATCCTTTGACCTTGACAAAATGGATAATTGGCGTACTTTGGTGTTTGACACTGGTGTTTGGCATTGTGGGAAATATGACAATGCATGATGAATTATTAGACATAGGAAGTGTTGGTTCAGCGTCAGACACGTGTGACCTAAAACCCAGTCACTTTCTCTCTGAGATGTAGCTGGTATACAGTGTTGCCAGGTTCCATCCCAAATACATTGCAAAGACCTGAAAATAGCTCAAAAAATGTTGGCCATATATGACAGAAGAGTGATGATATTGTTAAGGTTTGTTCATTCATTGGTCGAAAAAAAAAAAAACACTCACCTGACTTGTAAATGCATGAACATCTCTAATGTCCTTTTGATGTCTTGCCTTTCTTTATTTAAAAAAAAAAAAAAAAAAAAAACATTTACGGTCTTGTTTTCTTTCTCTTTGATTTTGAATTGAGATCTCTCCTCGATATTATGCTATAGCTACATTTCCTACACAAATAGCATTCCAACCTGAATCACTGTAATATCTGTATAGTTCCCACTACAGCATAAATGGTTTTGTATATAATATATACACTGTCTGCCCTTACACTTTCCCTTTGTTTGCCATAGCCTATGAAAACTGGTTCGATTTAATTTGAATTATTCACTACCTTGGCAGTCATAGACTATTATTTTTTTTTATTAAAGCCACCTGTGCACTTGCTTCTTCCATCCACAGCCTTGCACCTAAACTAGTCCAATAAAAATAAATAAATAAATAAAAAAAACAGCACTGTTTAGTTTGTGTGCTTCAGTTTTATATTTCTTCTGACTTGCCTGTTTACATGTAAAATTACTGACTGTGCTGCTATATTCTCATACATGATACCCTTTCCTTCAAAGGAAAAAGATTACCACTGAGCAGAGATTATTATTATTATTATTATTATTATTACTATTATTATTATTATTATTACTATTATTATTATTATTATTACTTCTCCACCATGGAGAAATGCACATCTAGAACTATCCATATCCTGGCTGAGTGTGTGTTGGTTTTCCCATCACATAACTCTAAATTAGGAG